TACTCATATCATTGTGGGAAAATTCTACTACCAGTCATTCATCACCCTAAACCAAATAGGGTGATTAAATCCCATATAGCTGATTTACTGGTCGTCTTAAAACTCTGCCCATATACGAAAGATAGTTTTAACACAGTTTTTATTCTATATATGCTAGTAGTCTCGAAAGCCGGCTTAGAAACGAACATTCTTTGCTAATTGTCACTTTTTAAAAAATGATTGACAGATCTGACGATGTCTATCATATTTCATGACAGATCTGAGCTTAGCCCGCTTTCACCCGGAACAATGGAGAATGTTTCATGAATTGGGTCAACCTGATTATCATATTAAAGCTAAATGAAGGCTTGACAACGGGACCCAGCTGTCGGCTTTCGATGAGATCGACCTACGCATCTCTACGCATGCTCATTCATACAAATAAGTCCCTACAACTATGTTATCTCGAGGGCTTTATCAAAACCCATCTATTCTTCGTATATAAATTAATAATAGCCTACTTCGTGTCCATTCCCAATAAGAGATGGGATCTATTACAGCCTTTAGATTCATATTGCTCCATTTACTTGTGTTCTCTATTCGTTATCATGATTGCTCTTACTTTCACTGATTCGAGTTACGAAATTGGCTACTCCATTTTATGGTACGTTTGTTTTAGACTTGATAACTTACTGCTAAAACCCTTCAAAGTTGAATCTTTATGGCATTTATTTGGAGCATCTGACACTCTAAATCTGTTATATTGTCTATTTCATAAATAATGAAGTCGCTTTCCTTTGGAAGGCACTACAAATTGTCTTGTAATAACCTGCTTAAATCCTTTCGTATAAAAAGCAAAAAGTCACCTATTTAATTCGTCATATTCAAGACTAGGAGAAATGTTATGATCAAGTCATCATGCTTTGTAGAACGGCCATAATGGAAAATTATTCTGGAGAGGGTATTCAAAACGATCATACTAAAAACTATGATGGACGCAAGTTCAGCCTCGCAAGTTCAGCTCTTGGACGGCGTCAATCTGAACGTTGTACTGAAACAAAATGGCTGCAGAAAAACGTAGATCACCTGTCAGCTTCCGGTGAGATCGACCTACGAATCTTTTGATTATGCACTTGCATTCGAAGTAAATGTATCCACAATAATGTTATTATTCAGCCTTAAAACATCCTCTACATCAAACTATCGGATGCCGCAGGATAATCGCATATTTAGGCTATGGAAAGTATATTAGACTCCCACTGGTCACTTACACTTGGTTTCGCGTTTGGTATATTTAGTTGAAGAATAGTTTAACGCCTCAACGATCTCTGTGATCGCGCAACCCAACTTCCTCATTTTTCGATAAGGCCAATTTATTCCCAGTCAAAGTTTAATTCGATATAATAAATTGCACCCACGTGAATTTACTAGAATCAGCTTCGAGACCCAGCTCTTCTTCCTAGTTTTTGTCTCTCCATTTTCAACTCTCTCATAATCCACACACAAGTTCGCACATACATGCTTTGTCATCGTGGCTGTATCCCTCTGTATCTTGTTACTTACTTTTTTCTTGACATACTCCAACAGTTATCAATTGCCTTATTTATTTTGTGGATAAAATAGGATATTTTCTTGCCCCTGGGAGCATCCTATGAGGCCTATCCGATGTTTGTGTATAACCACATACTGGTGATCATATAATTCTAATAAATGAGAGCTTTTCAAGTGGACAGAGAAAATCTTATAAAGACAATATGGCGTGTGTCATACCGGACAACGCCAGATAACCCAGTGTTGAATTATTGCTCCATTTGAGACCTTCACCTTCGTAAGTAGTAGACCGATAAATTCGTATACAGCCATTTTTACAGCTGCCTCTATACTTAGTTTTATGGCCCTGCATTTTTATTTTAATCCAGATTAGATGTTCGGCTCCAACTTGCATCAAAGCATCGTTTTGACAATAATCTCAAGGTATTTTTGCTTTTACATTTTCCCTAAGTACCCTCTTCATTTGCTGCTGCAGGCTTGAATGGAGGTATGGCTCACGAGAATGAAGGCCATCTTCGTGACATCAGTCCTTCGAACAAGAGCAGCTATTCTTCGGCGTCTGGAGTGTCCCTCTCTTCGCCTCTTCAACGACCCACCAGTCAGCAGACCAATTCTTTCACGATGTCTGTCTTTGAGGTTGGACTTCAAGCGGCACAGAAACGCAGCCACTCCGCTTCAGGCTCTAGCTACGACAACAGCACGGCCATCACCACCAGCAATATCAGCAACACCACCACATCCTCGGTCATAGCTACCACTTCTTCAGCTTCGTCTGGCTTTGGAATCGCAAATTTTGTCGGCGAAGCCTCCAACGAGAACACTGCACCGGCTCTAAATTTGACCAGCTCCATATCGGGACTGTCAAGGCGTGGAAAGCACTCCTCAACTTCTGGTTATCATCGTGAGGAGACGCAGAAACAGACCGTCTACCACGACGAGGAACTGGTAGACGTAGAGGGCATTTCTGTTGAGAATGAACAAGCCTCCTCCGCCGACTCCCGGTCTCTGTTGACGATGAAGAAGCCGGTTCAGAATATTGGCTAGGCTGCTGATCCATACTCTCACATCCATCTTTACGCTCCCGTCCACTCCCCATACTCCCAACAAATCCCATAATTTTAATTTCGTTCGGCCAGCCATTAAACCTGATGTCTATTTATCCATATTCACAAATATATTCTCTATGCAAATATACTGTATTGCATCAGTCCGTCTGGTGTTTGGTTACTCTGACATTTTGCGCCAGTGTCTTGCAGTCTTTTTTTCCCGTCCGTTTAATTTGTGCCGTTGTGATGTTGACATCATAGCGTTCAGATCATACATTACTCCACCTCTTATCCTGTCCGGATGCTCGCAAGCATACACGCATACATACACAAGAACCTCCTTTGGATGCCACCTATTTCGTGTACTTTGGTACGCTTTCAAGGACTTTTTATATACAAAGCGATTCTGATATCTGCTGCGGGTCCCCTCTTTCGATGCCGTGTAAATAAAGGCTTAAGTGAATTGGAACCATGTATATATATATACATATGTGAATGAGTGAATAAATACATAGAAGTATTTATAATTTGGATTAAACCGGGCTAAGAACGCATCTGTTTCACATACTGTCTCTTACTTAGTGGCCACATCTGTTAGCTCAAGGCGCTTGGGCCAGAACCTTTTTGCTAGCAACCCATCAGTTTCCCTCGGCATTCACTTCTTGTGGCTCTCCGCTCTTTTCGGGATCGTCACTGCTCTCTCTTATTTCCTATCCTGGACGCACTTGTGTACATTTTCATAAAACATACTTCAGTTCATAATGCCCAGTTAGCCCCATCTTCCTCTCTCTCTCTCTCTCTCTCT